CACAGTGAACAGTCAAATCCTTCGTCAGCAGCGGCCTCCACGTCCTCCTCAGTGGTCAGACCCTGACACATAGCGTGGACCCACCTGCGTGCACACACACATTAGCCGATGGTGACCTGACCGACGAACCCGCCGAGACCCCACACCTGAGCGGGTGTTACCTGTCGCACTGCTGGCACTGCAGGATGAGGTCGTCCTGCAGGTACGCTCGCTGGCAGACGGGACAGTGGCTTAGGCTGCAGCACGGCCCGCACAGGCTGTAGTTACTCTGCCACTCGCAGCGCAGCCCGGGGGAGGCGGAGCCACACTGCACACACCACACACACCTGAGGAGAGAGCAACCAGCACCCGTCAGCTCTTACCTTTCGTGTTATGCGTCACGTGATTAGAGTCTGAGCTCTGACTGGCTGAGGGTTGGTGGAACCTCGTGTCCCGTCATGTGACATCAAACATGAGGAAACGCTCTCAGCCAGTGTTTCTTGGTTGCTATGGTGACGTCGTCTCACATGAGGAGACACGTTTAGTCATGAGGGAGGGCTGATCAGACGATCTGACAGACGCCTCCTCGTACACGCAGGTGAGCGACAGGTAGACCCACCATTTGCACTTCCAGGCTCCTTTAGGCACCGTGAGGAGGGGCGGGTCCAGGCAGTAGGTATGGTAACTGATGTCGCAGTCATCACATAGCAACAGTCGCCCAGGGTCGCTGGCCTCACCGCATGCTTCGCACACCGTGCACTCCAAACAGCGCCACCCTTTGGTCAGAATCACCCGAGTGATCTGCAGACAGCACACTCAGTGTGAGCCAGGGGGCAGGAAGTAATCAGATTACAGGTAGGGGAGTACTGACCTTTACGTTGACGCAGTAAGGATGGTAACACTGTCCACACTGAGAGCACGCCAACAGCCGACCTTCAGCGCCCTGCCCGAAACTGCCACACACCACACACATGTCCTGCACACGCACACACGGGTTAACTGCTGCACGTCACATGATCACTGCTTACACACGTGATGTCACACAGGTGAGCACACCTGTCTGAGGGTGAAGTGGTCCGAGGTGGAGAACATCACCACGGTGTTGTGCATCGAGTTCTCCTC